TCCTCTCTCGCTCTCTCTCTCCTCTCTGAGCTCTCTCTCTCTCTCCCTCTCGCCTCTCCCTCTCCCTCTTCCCTCTTCCTCTCCCTCCCCCTCCCCCTTCCCCTCCCTCTTCTCTCTCTCTCACTCTCTCTCTCTCCTGTCCCTGCCTCCTCCCCTCCCTCCCTCCTCCCTCCTTCCTCCCTCCTTCTCTCCCTCTCTATCTTTCTCTCTTCTGTTCTGTTTGTCTGTCTGTCTGGTTGGCTGTCTTTCTATTTGTCTGCCTATCTGTCTTTGTGTCCGGCATCCTTGTACGCCGTGTGTCTGATTGTTTATTCAGTTGTTTTTGCTCAATTCATGCTTCCACTCTTCACATTAAATGTTTGTTTTGATCCACATTAGAAGAATATCACGCTGCTTCACAAGCTCTGTGGAAGACTGGATACGTGCAGTTTCCAAATCGGCTGCCGGAGAGGTAACGACACTCCTCGCCTTCCGCACTTCTCGGCTCGCTACAGTACACAGTCGATTATCCGAAACCATTGGGACCAGACAAGTTCGGATTTCGGAATTATTCGGATTTTGGAATGGTAGTACAGTACAGATGTACATAATGTATATCCTACAACTAGCCAGTACTAAAACCCCCCAACTAAGTTTTCGAGAGGCCGTTACAGCACCATTTGTATGAGTAATGCCAAACACATTAATATTCGGTCTGGTCGAGTTTTGCACCAAACGCAAGCTTTGGTGTGCAGACCTTGTTTCCACGAAAAAACTTTCGATTTTCGCGAGCTTTTCGGTTTTTCAGAATTTCAGATAATAGATGTGTACTGTATCTGTCGCCCAACCTCATGAGTGCCACTGATCTCAGCTGGGACACAGCCATCTAATACGTATGACCACATGTCACTCCTCATTTAAGTTCTGTCTATCATTCTGTTCTGTCCCTAGCGCAACTTACGTACATGCTTATTATTTCAAAATACATCTGACCCTGATCACGTCAATAACCGACCCTCAGTTCTCCTACCAAAACAAAGTACTTACACTACAGATGTCAATACGCTCTCTCGTCTACCAATTTATCACTATAAACTCAGCACGCGGAAAATCTTACGCTATGTAACTATGTTACTAGTTTTTTTAACATTCTTTTAACACGTTTAACGGCGAAACACGAGTATACTCCGTTCGAACCTGCAAAACGCGACGGCGCCCGAAACACGAGTATACTCGCGGCAAAAATAAAAACATAAAATAAAATAAAATTTGGAACGCTTTACTATGTTCTCCTATAGATGGCAGGGGCTATACGCTTAGCAATTCAATAGCGCGTCACTGTATATAACCCGAGTAGTAGATGAGATAATTTATACAATACTTTACTGTTGTTTGGAAGTTTATTTGGGAGTTTTTGGGACTGAGGTAATGTTTAGTTCACCTCGCCAAAGGGCGTTTGACCGCCGCTTTGTTCGTGAAGTTGTTTTTATGTCTGAAAGTTGTGTTTGATTTGATAGATCACGGGTGATATTTCCGCGGTTGTTTTTGATGTCTCTGAGAGTAATGTTTATATCTTATATTATACTAGCACTAATTATAATAATTTTATAGCTAGTAACACTGCCAAAACATTTGGGTGTGTATATAGGTGACTAAGGGCGGCTAAAAACGCGAAACATCTCAGCACCACGGGCGTAGATGATTGTAACCAGGGCAGCCGTTTGAACGGTTAATAAGTACACCGTGTAAAACATGCTGCACGGCGTAGCGTTTATCATGAGCTCCGTGCGTTCTTTCAGGAGGAGAAGCCGACGCGACGCGCCGGACGGCCTGCGATTCGTAACGGCGCGTTCTGACCGTGCAACAAGTAGCGGAAACATTCCATGTCAACGGCCCGGGAAAGTGAGGCGATAGATATACCGCGGGCCTCCAAAGTGTGTGTGTAAGGAGAGTGGCGAGAGTAGAGGCTGTTGTGTGTGTAGAGGGTGTGTGAGAGCTAGAGGGTGGTTGTGAGAGGTAGAGGGGCTTGTGAGAGTAGAGGGTGTGTGAGAGTAGAGGGTAGTGGTGAGAGTAGAGGGTGTGTGAGAGTAGCGCCAGCGGGTGTGTGAGAGTACGAGGGTGTGGCGAGAGTAGAAGGGTTGTGTGACGTAGTAGAGGGTGTGCTGAGACTACGAGGGGGTGTGAGAGTAGAGGGTGTGTGAGAGTCGAGGGTGTGTGAGACTAGAGGGGTTGTGTGGAGTAGAGGGTGTGTGAGAGTAGAGGGTGTGTGAGAGTAAGAGGGGTGTGGAAGTAGAGAAGGGTGGTGTGAGGCGCGCAGTGAGACTAGAGGGTGTGTGAGAGTTAGAGGGTTGTGTGAGAGTAGAGGGGTGTGAGACTAAGGGTGTATGAAGAGTAGAGGTGTGAGGTAGTGTGCGAGAGTAGAGGCGTTGTGCCGAGGAGTAGAGGGTGCTGCGAGAGTAAGAGGGTGTGAGAGTGCGCGGTTGTGAGAGGTAGAGGGTGGTGTGAGGAGTAGAGTGTGCGTGAAGTAGAGGGTGTGGTGAGAGTAGAAGTGTGTGTTGACAGTAGAGGGGTGTGTGAGAGTTGAGAGGGTGTGTGAGAGTTAGAGGTTGTCGTGAGAGTAGAGGGTGGTGTGAGAAGTAGAGGGTGTAGTGAGAGTAGAGGGTGTGTGAGAGTTAAGTGTGTGTGAGAGTAGAGGGTCGTGTGGAGTAGAGGGTGTGTGAGGTAGAGGCTGTTGAGAGTAGAGGGTGTGTGAGAGTAGAGGGTGTGTCGAGAGTAAGAGGGCTTGTGTGAGATGAGAGAGAGGCGGGTGTGTGAGAGTAGAGGGTGTGTGAGAGTTGAAGAGGGGTGTGTGAGAGTAGAGGCTGTGTGGAGAGTAGAGAGTGTGTGGAGTAGAGGGTGTGTGAGAGTAAGAGGGTGTGTGAGGTAGAGGCGTGTGTGAGGAGTAGAGGGGTGTGTGAGAGGTAGAAGGGCGTGTGTGAGAGTAGAAGTGTGTGTGAGAGTAAGGGTTGTGTGAGAGTAGAGGGGTGTGTGAGAGTAGAGGGTGTGTTGGAGACTAGAGGGTGGTGTGAGAGTGTAGAGGCGTGTTGTGAGAGTAGAGGTGTGTGAGACTAGAGGGTGTGTGAGAGGTAGAGGGTGTGCGAGAAGTAAGAGGTGGTGCACTAGAGTGTGAGATAGAGGAGTGGTGGACTGCTTTGGGAGAGCCTTATCTACCCGTTGTGACGTTGGGTGTGTGGAGACTAGAGGTGTGTCGAGAGTAGCAGGGCTGTGGTGAGACTAGAGGGTGTGCGAGAGTAGCAGGCTTAGAATAAGGAGTGTGTGACAATAGAGGGTGTGTGGAGAGTGATAGAAGGGTGTGTGAGAGTTCAGAGGGTGTGGAGAGTAGAGGGTGTTGAGGTAGAGGGGTGGTGAGAGTAGAGGGTGTGTGAGAGTAGGAGCTCAGTCGGTGTGAGAAGTAGAGGGTGTGATTGTGAGTAGAGGTGTGTGTGAGAGTAGAGGGTGTGTGGAGTAGAGGGGGTGTGTGAGAGTAGAGGTGTGTTGTAGGAGTAGAGTGTGTGTGTGAGAGGCTAGAGAGCGGTGTGTGAGAGTAGATAGTGGTGTGTGAGAGTAGAGGGTGTGTGTGAAGAGCTAGAGGGTAGTGTGAGAGTAGAGGGTGTGTGAGGAGTAGAGGCGTGTGTGTAGGGAGGTGGATTGGGAGGTAGAGTTAGAGGGTGTGTGAGACTAGAAGGGTGTGTGAGAGTAGCAGGCGTGCCGAAATATACGGAAGATAATATCGCTAGAGGATATATTTAAAATATAGATTAAATGATAAGGGTTGTATGTATTGTACGAGTTAGACACAACGTGCCGAGAGTAGGTACGGGCTAGTCGTGAGATAGACGGGCTCGTTGATTGCGGAGAGCTTAGAGGAGCGCACACGACACACAACACACACACGCAGTGTCACTGATAGTGATATATATAATACGCACGCCACGCGACGCACGCCACGCACGCACTGCTCGTGATGACGGCACGCCCGCCACGCACGCCACACGCACGCACGCACACACACACACACACCAACAACTAGTAGAGGGAGGCAACGAGATGTGCCAATACGATTAGCCATAGGAATGAGAGAGAGGTTCAATCATTTGCCTATTCAAAAGAACTTGCAATGACCTGAAAGATAACTAAAACAAGTGCCGCAGAGCGACAGCGCTCACCTGACGGCAGGTGTTCTGATGCTAAACTCACTGGCAAACGAATGAAGAGCACCCTCCCATCACCGCGTTCGCGCTTACAGCATATATCTAGGATACTACTAATACAAATCTAAAATCTATGATAGCTAGGCTTTGCTATACCAGTAGTAATGTAATAAAGATACAGCTGTGTAACTTTAATGACTTCGCTATATTAACATGTTATCATGGATATGCGTCGAGCGCGAGCATAGTGGTGGTGGTGGGGGAGAGTGGGGGGAGGGGGCGGGTGAAGGGGGCTCTAATAGCAAAAGCAGTTGCCGCGAGATGGCGCGTGCAAGTGTCATCAATAATCAAAGATGGCATCACCCTTCAGGCGTGATAACCTCACTCCATTGAGTTGCTGAAATCCAAGTATATTCAAGCAGGCGAGAATTTCGCTCAGCTGTGAGTTAACACATCTGCATTGCAGGTTGCCAGGCAATAATTATGATTAAAATAGTGCCAGTTCACCCCCATGCATGCGTAATGGGCTGCCCCCATGTTTTTGCCTACCCACGCGAGCATTGAGGGTTCATTACAGTGTGCTAATACAGGGTGCTACTCAGGGTGCTAATACAGACTGCTTTAGAAAATAATATGATTTAAGGAAAGTAAACCTTGTTCAATAAACATTTTTTCCGTGCGCGGATGCTGGTTGCTGACCTGTTTCAGTGTTATCACTACATAGCCATGTCAGATGTTGTATTTCTCTAGTTACCGGTGCGGTGTCTAGCTGCTTGACTGTTAATTTTTAGCTCATCTGACATAGTCAGATGCAGCTTGTAGAATCGCATGAGCGTGCATTCGTGCATCCGTGCGTCCGTTCGTGCGTCCGTGCGTCCGTCAACAGTTGGGCACAAATCTAAACGGCTCGACGTACGGGCACGATATTCGGGACGTGGGGGGGGTAATCCGAAAACGATTTGGGATGTCGAAGCTGGGGGTCAAAGGTCAAAGGTCAAGAGGTGTAAAAGAAGGTGGAACATTTCCTTCTTAACTTAAGATATAGGGAGGAAATGCAGAATTGCGGCACAAATCTAAATGGCTCGGCCTAGGCTCGTGATAGTCGGTGTATAGCATCATGGTAGGAAAAGCCATCACTGTGCCGAAATTGGAGGTCACAGGTCAAAGGTCAATGGGGCACAGGGCAGATTTTAGACATTTTCTGAGGACATGGTCTGATAGAGCGATTGAAAAACTTTTGTTTTAGCGGTGACCTAGCATTTTTATGGCTTTATTGAAAGGACCATGAAATGTACTTTCTGCTGACATGCGAAGCGTAAGTGTCGGATAACCTTTTGACCCTCAAGAGGAGGGTTAAACATGGATTTGTTGACTGTTAACAAAGGACTGAACTGCTTTTGCAATTGTGGATCTGAGGCTACAGTTGCACAGTTCAATTGCAAAGGCCTTAATGTAGCCGTTGATGCTGCGTATCATGTCCCCGTACCTTAATGTAGCCGTTGATGCTGCGTATCATGTCCCAGTAGGCACGCTGGTTCTTCGACAGCTCAAAGTAGGTGAGCTCCTCCTTCAGTCTGCCGAAACTCGCAGCATTCTGGTACGTGAGGTCGAGTATGTCCGCCCCGATCACTGCAACACGCAAGCGTCCGCACGTCAGGGCAATCGTCGCCGAGATTGCGCGCACTGGGGGAGGCGAGACAACTTCCGACTCGCGCTCTTCCTCAACTCAACCCTAAACTAACTCTAATCTACTTACCCCAACCCTAATCTTAAGCCTAATCAAACCCTATCACTTACGCCAACCCTATCTCTTTCCGTTACCTAACTCTATTACTTACACTAACCCTAACCTAACTCTTTCACTTACCCCAACCCTATAACCAACCCTACCCCTATCATTTACCCCAACCCTAACCTAACCCTATCACTTATCCCAACCCTGCCCTTAACCTAACCCTATCATTTACCCCAACCCTAACCTAACCCTATCACTTATCCCAACCCTGCCCCTAACCTAACCCTATCATTTACCCCAACCCTAACCTAACACTATCACTTATCCCAACCCTACCCCTAACCCTAACCTAACTGATAACCTAAACCTCACTTAACTCTATTACTTACCCTAACCTTACTCTAACCCAACCTAACCTTATCCCTAACCTAACCAAACCCTATCACCTACCCTAACCCTAACCCAGCCTAACCTTATCCTTAACCTTACCTTAACCCATAAGCTAACCTTCACTGAACCCCAACGCTAACCCCAACCCCAACCCTAACCATAACTCCATCGACAGCATCCTCGCGTTGTCGCCGTGTGACTCACTCTCGCATCGCGACGCCACTGTGATGTCGACGCTGATGTTCAGCTTGCTCGAGAAATCTCCGTCGACCTCGTAGTCGTATCGCATCTCCGTGGCGCTGTAGTAGCGAAACTCCATGAAGACGAGAATGCTGATGAGGAGGAAGCAGAGGATGGAGACTGTGGTGCAAAGAAACAAACACATGTACATGTTTAAATACATGTCTATCATGGTGAGCAGGAAACAGAGGATGGAGACTGTAGTACAAAGAAACAAACACATGTACATACGTACACGTTTATATGTCTATAATGGTGAGTAGGAAACAGAGGATAGACTGTGGTGCAGAGAAACACACATGTACGTGTTTATGTTTGTAATCGTGAGGAGGTACACAGGGAATATAGACTGTGCTCCAGATACACACGTGTATATATGTTTATATGTCTGTAGTGTATAGTGTAGAGCTGGACGCAGAGGATTGAGACTGCGGTGCAGAGAAACACACACGTGTACATACATACACGTTTATAAGTCTATTGTGAGTATAATGTCGATAACGACAAGCAGTTAGCAGACAATGAGAAGGATGAGCGAAGCCTGAGCTCAATACTGCATCACTGACTACCTACCTGTTCCTCCAGCCGAAGTTGTCTGCTGGTAACTCTCCGGAATTTTTGGGAATGCATCTAGTTCTTTTACAACTTTGAGCGTCGATTTTTTGTTTAATCTCCTCATAATTACTGTTAATTTGCATCAATTAGATTATCATTATGTGGACAAGGCAGCACAGCAGGCTTTCAAGTTTCAGCAGACTAGACTCGAGTCCAAAACCAGCGTCACTGTAACGGGGATTACTGCTAGCAGTTCAGAGATTTCTATCTATTCCAATATATATGTAACCACAGTCACTTGGAGCGTTTCAATAAAATATTAAATATATTTATAAATATAATGCTAAATAAATACGGAATTTATTTACTACCAAAGTCTTAATGTTTCTCTACGCTCTTTCGACGCTCCAAGTGCATGCGTGTGTAACAGCTATTTATCCGCAGAGCCTACAGCATTATTAATAATTTATTATTATTAACGACTGTGACTGAGACTGAGAGTGAGAGCATGATCTCCAGATCTAATCAGATCGACAGATGTAAACAAACGCGGTGCTAGTGCTACAGATACAGTGTGTGTGGGACTACACACACGCAAGTAGCTTGCCATTGACGAATAACATCAACACTGCACTTACTCAATAATGCATAAATAGCCTTACTATTTATGCTATTGTTAATAATTTCATTTTATACTCTCATGGTAAACTTCAATAAAAGATACAGAAATTGTGGTACACAAAGTCACAAGACAGATATTACTATCCGCTAGATGGCAGTTATTAGTGACTCGTGGCGCGCAGATGGTCATTTGTTAGGCGTAGGTAAGTTTGTTACTTCTGTTGTGTTCTTACTTACTATTTATACTAATACTAATTCTACTTAAGTACTTTGTTAATTATTAGTTGTTGTTATTATGCTAAGCTTTATCACGCAATTAAGTTTTTCACTTTCGTCAATTGTCGTGCTTGTGCAGTTACGTTTCATACTAACATTGAACCCTGTCACTGCTGAATACTTTTTCGGTTCAAGGATAGAGAACATGGGTCCCAATATTGGCAATAAAACCAATGTCATTTACATCAATATTATTGATTATATTGATTATATTTTTGGTTAGGGTTAGGGTTAAGGTCAGGGTATTAGCCAAGCACATTGGTTTTATTGGGACCCATGTTCTCTATCCTTGGGCCACTTTTTCACATGTTCGCCCTAAACCGACCAGGCTCTCCGACTGTTACACGTCGTAAGAGCCTGAAACCCTTCCATACGAAATGCCTGGTAGCTTGAAAACAAACTCCGAATTTCGTAAAATTTCGTAAATAATACAATGTATTACCACATTTGACCTCACTTGTTACATGTTTGCAACTATCGCATGACTTCTTAATTACTATTTACCTCGAAATACACGTTAAAATAAGAGCATTTCGAACAGCTATACTATTTGAACGTTGTAAAACGCCATACTGGATGTTCTTATGTTTTTTTTGTACTGTTTGCAATGTATTTTTTGCTACGCATTTCATGATGGGATATCTATTGGAAAATGGCGGCGTTTTTTAAAATTTTATCTTATCAATTTATAAATAATTACTCGCTGACACGTAAATACATGCTCAGTGATAGCGCACATAAGAAATCGAGGCGTGGAAGTAGAGAGAAGCGGTAACAATCATAAAAAGTTAGATAATTTTATGTTTAATAGCAGCGCACGTCATGCCGAACAATATTCTATTGCGTTGGCTTGTGACCCTCTCGCCAAACGTAGTGTTAAGCGAGAAGGGAACTTGTGGCTAATGTTCGCCCCTGTCACCTGTGTGCTGAATACCTTTTTGGACCGTTTTAACTCTGACTTTCAGTTTCACTTTCAATACAATAATAACGATGAAAGTTATGGTACATATAAAACACAAATTGTGCTTTTTATAAAAAAAATTTAATAGCTATGTACTTTTTAAGACTTAATAATTCCACAGAAATGTCGTTCAAATACTCCTCTACAACACAAAGTTTTACTGCACGCATGCAACTGACTGTGAACAAACTCGCTCTCTACTCTAGTCTTAGTAGTTCTAGTTTTACGACTCGTTGAAGAGGAGTATTTGAATGGCAATTTTGTAAAATTATTAGGACCCAGAGAGTAAATGAATATTGAGATTTTGGTACTAAATGCAATTCGAGTCTAAAATGGATAAACCTCGCAACAAAAAGCGAAGTTGACTATTTTCCTGCTATTTTGATACTCTTGTCTGACGGAGTTTTGGCGTACAGATACACATAGAGCGATGTGACTGAGAATGCTAACAGTAGGCCTACACTAGCGCAAATAGTTCCTGGAAAGAAAACGCTATATTTGTTTGCTGATTGCATAAGTAATGTAGATCGATAACATATGATTTAAACAAATTTCACAATTTTGTACTGAACACATATTGAATAATGAATTATAACTTGTTCTATCATAGAAAAGAACTGTTAATGAAGACTGGGATTGCTTGGCTATGTCCTGGATATAACACAGTAAACACTGTGTATATATTGAATGTACTAGTTTCGTAAGACTGTTTAGGTTTGCTGAAGAAATGTTATGAAAGTAGCAATACAAATGAGTTGTGGTGAATTTTTGCATCATAGCCGGCGAGCTCACAGTAGGTATAGCTATGCGTTTTGCTGCAAGAACATGCCGTTTTAATAGCGTACAAAGTAACTGTTAATTGGAACGGGAGAAACCCGTGCTGGAATTGTGAAATAGAAGTTGTCAGTTGTTCTCTATTTAAATTTCTAATCATTAAAATCTTTGGTCCTAAAATGGGATTAAACCTAGATACGTATAATGTTGCAAAATATGAACTCTTAACTACTCTCACTAAATTTAATAATGGCCTAATCCTATGCTAATAATTAAAATCAAATAACTAAAATAGGATTAAACCTATATATATATACAAGGGTAGAAATTAACTTGTGAACAAGGGAGTCCAGCGGACTCCCTGCCCTCAAAAAAAGGGGAGTCCGCAGCAAAATAAGGGAGTCCGCAGTCTGAAGTTCAAAACTAAAGATATTAACAATAACGCATGTGCTTATTTTGAAGATTCATGAGGTTGCACGGCTGCCAAATTTTCTTTGGACATTGCTGAAAAAAAGGTAATTCTGCGAGGCCGTGCTCTGGAACGAACTAGTTAGTATATAGCAGAATTTTCAGGGAGTCACACGGACTCCTGCGTATGTCAAATCAGGGAGTCCGACAGTAAATCAGGCAGTATTTGACTCTGGACTCGCATTAATTTTGCACCCTGTGTGTACAATGTCGCAAAATAATCTGCACTAATGAACATTGTGAAAAGGTGTGGTGGCAGTATGTATCTATGCTTGACTCCTGTGTCTGACATTACAGAATTAATCACATGGTTACCATATTCAAATTACTCTGTTACTTTTATTGGATTTTTAGAATCAAGAAATACAAACATTGTTTGCATTTTTTGTCATCCTATGTTAGCACATAACACTACTTCTAGTTGTAAAAGTGAATTAGATACGATGGGATGTAAAGAAATTGTACTGTATTATGCTAGCTAATGTTTACTTAATAACGTTTATCTTATAATATCATTAAGTTGATGATATAATGAAGTAAATCGAAAATGACTATTAATGAATAAGCAGAATGATGCCTGCATCATCAAAATTTAAACTCTGTTGCTGTTGTATTGCTTTTCTAAATGCTGTTCAGATTTGCCGAGTAAATGTTATAAAATGAACAATACGAATAAATGTAATTCAAAAGCAAAGAGTCAAACAGGCACTTGTTAAATGGTTTCTTGTTTGTCTTGGGGCGCGTTTGTTTGGTTGGATCCACGGATCTCGATCCGATGGATTCGTTGATCTGACTGTTTGTTTGGTCGGATCACATGATCACGATCCACCGAACCCGAACCTGCTAGCGAGGCGGATTCGAACGGAATCCAATATGGTGGCCCGCGCCTCAGCCAATCACAGCTGGTTCTTTGTTATGTACCATCCCGTGATAGGTCACAGCGAAACGTGAACCAGTGAAAGTGAGTTTTGCGTTTGTTTGGTCGGATCAGGATCATATGATCTCGATCAGACGGATTCGTCCCAAACAAACGCGCCCTTAAACACCCAACCAAACTGAATATTAGACGTACCTATTTCATTAGCATGCAAATGGCATTTTCTATTGATAATATGATCTTCAATGCTCTTGTGGTTATTAAACCAAGCTGAAACTGGGTCATGTAGAAATTTTGATATAAATTGTGTACTAGGCCATAATAAAAATATCGTTTGTTTGCCCTTACCTGACCGACCCGCCAAAAAGGGGCCCACTCAAAAAATTGTATTTATCTTTTTTTTTTACAAATTGTATCACTGTACATTATATAAATCTGTAGGCAATACATTATATGTACCAAGCAAAACAAGCATTCAACATAAAAGGTATCTCCACACAAGCACACCAGAGCATGATTGTAGACACTGTGGCATGCTGAATTTGTAAAAAGACCCTATAAAAAAAGCCTACCTACCTACCCAAACTTTTCAGCCTGGGTCGGGTGAGGGCAAATAAAGTTTTTTTTAATTGTGGCCCTACCTAAACATGCAGTAGGTTGAAAAACGTGGGATATATATATAAACATCTCGTGTAATTTCGCTTCACCTGTTGATATCTGTGTTCATACGTTTTCCCCCATACACTTGTCAACGGTTTTTACTGGTCTTCCCTGTTGGCAGCCAGCATCAACATGTGGTTTCAAGCACACATGTTCACCCTTACTCGCCCATCTCTCCTCTCGGATATCGTTACGCCCAACCATCTTAGGTCAGCGTAATCCTAGTCTGGTGCCTGCGAGTTAATGAGAGAAACAGATGCTGAAACGTGCACCGATTCTGAAAGCGCGTGCAAAAACTTCATCGGGTGGTGAAAGTCTATCTCGTCGTTCGCGCGCAGTGTTTTTCCAGGGGTCCACGTCAGCAGGGGATGACGTGGAACGTTGCAGATTCTCCCGCTGCAGTCGTAGCCACGGAGACGGTCGCTTATTAATCGTATAGTTCTAGTCGCGTAACGGGGACGTTTCGGTGAAGGCTGCGCACGACCGTTAGCGAGACACAGGTAAGGTTGTTTGGCGGAGGCGCGAGTTGATGCACACGCTGCATCACATGATCACAGGCTTCTTGGCCGGGAGGCTAGCGATGGAGGAGGCAGGTCCGAGAGCTGTCCCCCGCACACACACACCCGGCCGTCGCGAGCCGGTGCAGTCGTCGCGAGAGATGCGGAGCGATCGTCGCGCATTAAACCGTGCCCCCGTGTGTAATTTTGCAGATTTCGTAGCTCGTTGGTGACGACGACGACGTCGTCGCGTAAAATGTTGCCGACGCGATGTGCGGTGCTGCTGGCGTGTGTTGCATGCGTGGTCGGCGGCCACGAACACTACAAGAAGGTACATCCACGTGGTCCCTCCCTCTCTCTCTCTCTATCTTCCGTGCGTGCGTGCGTGGCTCGCTCGCTCGCCCCCCTTCCCTCACCCTCACTCCCCGTGCGCTTGCCGTGTCGTGTTTGGTTTCGGTTCTGTAGCTTGTCGTTTTTCTCTCTTCTTTCTTTTAGGTGCACTTTTCGCTTCTGCTGCACGGTGTCGGGTTCTTTTTCTCGTCTTAGTCATTGTCGTCGTCGTCGGTGACGCGCGTGTCTAGTGTCCCGCTGTCATGATTTTCGCGTGCTGCTACGTGGTGGCGCTACTGTCAGCGACCACGCTGTCCGCCGCCGTACCACACGTGCCCGTCGACAAGGTACGTAGAAACTCCGCGGTGGGCGGACGGATGCACGTCTGCTTCTACGGCCAGGGTTCTTAACCTGTGGTCTATGGAATCCTTTGGGGTCCGTGGGTTCGTGGGTGGGCTTCAGGGGGGGTCCGTGAACCCATTTTATACAAAATTTTGTGTTTATGTGCATTTTTTGTGGAGGGGTCCGTAGATTTCACCAAATTCTCAAAGGGATTCATGACTCAAAAAAGGTTAAGAACCACTGGTCTACGGTGTGTTGGCGGTCGTGGCTCATAGTGTGAAATTGTATCGTGTCGTAGATGGTGTCCTTCTGGTTTGATTTCCTAGACGCGCATCGATTATAATGCGGATTTATTTAACGGTCTATTCAACGTGGAACGAGCGTGGGCGGGGCGGGGGTCTGAGCTGTCGTGGTCCGATCCGTCGCGAGACGGAGGAATCTGTACCATTGTCGAGACGTTGACACTCGAGAAGGGAGATACAACGGTTCGCGCGCGCGTCGTGCATACGTGTCGTGGGAGAGGCGAGCGATGAAGAGTTTCACCTCGTTTCCCTCTCCCACAGCCGCTGAGTTAGGATGGGGGGAATCGTGGGTAGGGGAAGCTCACTCTAGCAGCAGCGCGCGTGTGTCGTACGTACGCGCAGCGAGTGACTGTGCGTCTCCCCTCGCTGTTGCAGCCGCTGAGTTAGGATGGGGGAATCTTGGGTAGGGGAAGCTCACTCTAGCAGCAGCGCGCGCGTGTCGTACGTACGCGCAGCGAGTGACTGTGCGTCTCCCCTCGCTGTTGCAGCCGCTGAGTTCTCAAAACCACTACGCGGATGACGGCCACAATGATGACTACGATCACGAGGCGTTCCTCGGACGCGAGGAGGCGGACGAGTTTGATCAGCTGTCGGCGGATGAAAGCAAGAGAAGACTCGGGTGAGCGGAAAGTAGTATATATTAGGGTTTCTTCTGAGGGGAACTTAGACAAAGGAGGTAATGGCCAGTTTGGGGGAAAAAAACGTGCATGATGGATTCAAAGGCGTGCCGTAGGCCGTAGGGAAAGTGTAGACCCCGTGTCACATGACCCAATAAACGCACATGGCCATCTAAATATGCCAGAAGCACACGGTGATCTATTTATTTTTGGGTTGACACTGTTTTGACAACAGCGGGTAAATACAGAAACATTTTCACAACGGCGATGTTAAATTTCACAACGGTGGTACGCCACTGTGCCTCTTATGTATAAGAAACCCTGTATATTTAATATATTTGTTTATTTATATTGTGCACGTTACATGCAGACATGTTCACGTGCGCATTACAAAGGCTGATTATAAAATAGCGGAGATACTGTAAAATAGCGGCGGTACTGTAAAATATAGATACTAAAATTACGACAATCCTATAACATTTCCTAATTATAAAATAGCGGACTGCAACATTGTAAAATATAGATCCTAAAAAACGACAATCATAATATTTCCAACAAATCTCGCAAGTAGTGGCATGGCTACCACTGGCATTCCCTCCCTACCTTTGCAAAATGCGATGAATAAACGAAAGTGGCGATTTTATCTAATATAACTAACGTAAGCGGTAGACCGTGAACGTTGTGCAGCGTGAACAGTAGAGCTGTAACGATCCACCGAAATCGAATCGAATCGCGATTCTCTTCCCTCGATCCGATCCTCGATGCTTTTTCCCGTATTTTCGATCCGATCCAACCCGCTAGTACTTCATACTGTTTGCATCGGCCGAAGTGTGTATGAGACGCCCGCTCTGATTGGTCAATAGTCCTGACTCGCCAGTCAGATAATCAGCGGCTACAGCACATCGCTAATATGTTTACAGGGCTGCAGTTAGACGTGACTGCTCGTTTTTTAATTTTAATTATGCGCTTAAAGTTATTTTGTTAAATAAAATTGAGAAAAAAGAAAGAATGTAATAGTTGGTTAAGAGCTTTTATTGCAAAATAATGAAAATACAAAAAATAAGATAACATTTCAATAATTTGGGAATCGAATCAAATGAATCGAATCGAGAGGCTAATAGCGAGATACGGATCGAATCGAGAGGCTTGTGTATCATTACAGCCCTAGTGAACAATGGAGCGTAAATGGTGAAGACTGGCGACGGGGAGTGTGCGTGTGTTCGTTGCGTGATTTCTGATGTTGTTTTTCCCCTCGTTACTTCAGAATTCTCGTGAACAGGATCGACAAGGACAACAATGATTTGGTCTCCGAGACGGAGCTGATTGAATGGATCAAGTACACACAGGAGAGGTAGGATGGATGGAGGGAGAGGTAGAGGAAAATAGAGAGATGGGGGAAGATAGTTAGAGAGAGAGAGAAGAAGCGAAGACACGAGCGAGAGCAGCAAAGACGAGAGAGAGAAGAGAGACGATAGACGAGAGAGGAAGAGAGAGAGAGAGGAGAGAGAGAGAGAGAGAGAGAGAGAGAGACGAGAGAGAGCAGAAGAGACAGAGAGACAGAGAGGAAGCAGAGAAGAGAGAGAGAGAGAAGAGAGAGTGAGAGAGAGACGAGAGAGAGCGAGAGAAGAGAATGAGAGAAAGAGAGCAGGAGCGACAGAGAAGAGAGGGAGAGATGTTCGGTGAGAGAGAGAGAGAGAGAGAGGGAGAGATTTAAGAATACATACAAATCAACCAGTCTTGTTCAATAGTTACTAGTCCTTGACCAGGAGGTGACGACCCTGCGCGCGACCGCCTGCCCAGTTCCCCAATATGACACTAGTTAGTGCAGTGAACCCCGCGCGTCCAGTAGACCCGGTCCAGACCACCTCCACGTCGCTACTCATCACGTGCCCCCCCCCCCGACCATGTCCCCCCCATCAATACCACATCCACGTAGGCTCTTCTTACTGTATAAGGAACTACTGTAAAGCAATAAAGTTATAACTTATAATATTATAAGTTCTCGGTAGCTCTATATAAGGTATACTTAATACAACGTCGTACGCGGATAACTATGATAAAATATTATCATTAATATAGAGTATTAATACTGACTTATAATCATATAGATTCCGGTTACGTAAACAGTGTCTACGTCACGAAATTTTTCCTGAAGATTAGAGTTGAAACCTTAATGTTTTGTAAATGTTTTTACATCAAAAGTACCCGTACAACGTGACTAATAATCTAAAGCTCTCACCTGATAAAATGTTTTTTCGTTGTTAAATTTGCAAGAAATCTTGAAGAATTGAATTAAGGGGGGGGGGGGGGGGGGCGGGGGGGGGGGGGGGGTGTTACCTAACACTAATTGTACACGAATCACTGGCAAGTCACTCGTTGCGAACTGGTTGCCTGAGTGGTCAATGTCATCGTGATTGTGCTGTATGGTGCAACAGAAGTGGATTGCCCAACAGTGTCTGTTTGATTTGTTGCGCTAATAGAATATACAATAGTAGAAAAAAATACATATATAGTTCATCGTGTACTATGTTTGAAAAATTTATTAATTAAAACTGCGAAATGTTATTTGTGTTTTAAATTTCCGCCAACAAAAAAGTGTGACATCCCCTTCAGGGATCGATCAAAAAAAAAGCTAGATAAACAAACGAAAACAATGGTGGGCAGACCACGTGCAATCGAAAGAAAAACCAAAGAAAAAAAAGCAGAAAGAAGATCATATGAGAAACTCCCGGCCTGTAAAGTACACTCACGTTAACAAGGGAATTTCAATGCGCTGCGCCAAATAAAAGTTTGCCAATGCGTCGTTTACCGAGCGAGAAATGTTCGCCTATACTCGGCTACTGCGTCTGCGGCGCCAACAGCAATAATTTGTCGG